ACATTTCATCAAAATTTTTATGCTTTTTTACTCATAATACATATATCAATTTCCGCCTAATAATCACTATAAATAAAAAATAAAATATTTAAGTTAGTTAACTTAAACCTAAAATCCAAATTTATTTATCATTCTTAATTTTTTTTTCAAACTTTCTATTATTTTAGTATTCTAGTATATTTACTTGTAAAAATCGAAATTTATTTATCACTCGTTAGTTTCTATTTAAACCTTCTATTATTCTCGTATTCTGCCCAAGTCACCAAGAATTTGTAAGCTTTTCTCTATGAATTTTTTGGTGTCTTTCTGCTACTCACTGACTTATGGCTCTTTAGCTGGCGGTGGAACGATCACTCAATTCTGCCAGCATTAAGTTGTCCAACACAATAAACATTTTATCAAGCTATCGATTGTGGTAAAACTCATTGATGGATAGCGACCAATAAATCCAGAAATTCTTGTTGTTGTTGCTTCACTCGCAACTCTAAGTGCAATAATATTGATGGGCTTTTGCCCAATGTCAAGCGGTGCCGACATCAACTATATATCTCTATACTATTTAGCAATGAGGCATTCCTGCTACTTTTTATGTAATATCGAAGTTTGTTTCTCTCCGAACTGAAACAGCTTTCGCTCGGATACCTAATACACATAGCCACGTTTAGCTGTGCGCAAATTGCTAATTGGATTTACAGATGGCGAGGTGAGATTGAGAGTCGCATGCATAAAAAAAATGAAATACCTCAGCTACAAGTTTTCCACGGACTGCAGCTATCATAATATGCAATCTTGTTATTTGATGAAGCTTAAATCAAAATGATTTATAGGCAGCGACTGAAATGCAGTTAATTACAAGCGGGAATTGTCTCATTAATAATCAAACACACACACACACACACAGAGAGAGGCACAATCAGGCAGATTGACGGGTTTGATCTGTGCTAAATGCTGGCTGTAGATACTTTTGTATCTGTTAGATACTTTTCCAGGCACGCATGACTAATACAGAAACTAAACATTACTAAATGGCCCCCTCGGCCCCCAAGCTAGCTGCAAATTGTGCGCATAAATCTTGGCAGTAATAGGCGCGCACTCAAACACACACTGGCAAAAAGATACAGCCAGAGAGAGATGGAGATACATCTACAAGCTAAAGATACAGATACAGATACAGATACAGCGACGCCCACGCATATAAGCATATGAAACGTATAATTTCCACTATTTTGGCTCGTCGAATATTCTTTGCATGATTTATTCATTTCGCATTTTCCAATTTTCCAAATCATTCGAAGAACAAGAGAGGAACACAACAGCAACAACGTGCCACAATTTGCTGCTGCGGCTGAAGTCGACTTCTGTGCTGAAGCGAAACTCGTTTCGCGTTCCGATTTATTCAAAAACTGTATCTCAAAACGAGTTTAATCACAAAGCCTATGGCAAACGTTTAGCCAGCGATAATTGCGTGCGATATTTGAGCGATTGACCGATTGAGCGATTGAGCAAGTTGGCCCAACTCACTCTATACTATCTACATAGTCTCTGGTATATATACATATATATATAACGCCTGATATTCGGTTTATAAATCAATTTCTCTGCCTTGCTTTATAGTCGGCATATGGTCTGGGTGGGTGTCTCATGATATATGGCCTATATATCGGGGCGAGTTGACAATTTATAACGACAGGTGTTGGCTGCGACGATGGCGACGACGTCGAGAAA